AATAAATTCGCTATCTGATTTTTTTCTTTTTTTAGATCGAATTTTTAATATGTCCGAAATTGGGTCGATTTTTTTTTATGTAGACGATTTTAGATTTTTTTTAGGCTGATATTTATTAACATTCGGCCAAGCCGAATTTCATATATTTGACCAGTGAATGTAAGGATAATTTCTATAACTAAATGTAGTTGTTATATAGAATATCCGCTTTAACTCTTATAGTTCAGATGTGATAGTTTGATTGCTTCGGATTTTACTGTTGCTGGATACAAAATCTAAACATAACTCCAAAATGTTAAATTTTTTTAGTTTAACACTAACCAATCGACGAGAGTTTGGATGTTTTATTTTTTTATAAATTAAACTAGTTTTAACTAATAAAAGAAATAAAACAAAACCAAACTCTAAATGGAGACGAGTTTTTTGACCTAATAAAAATATAAATTGGGTAAGTACCGAGGTGCCCCACAAGATGCTTGTCTACACGCAATAGTGAGAGACTATGCCCTGAAAACCATCCCAATGGTCTTCAAACAGTCTCCTCCAGACGAACCACGTGTATTCGCTGTGCTTACTACTGTCGAAGATGTAGCCTGAAGCCAGGAGCATATAGAGGCATAGTGTTAATATATTAACAGGAGATCGTTACTTATCTTTTAATCACAGCATATCAGTTATAATGGTTTCCGTTTCCTAGTAAAATAATATAGACTCAAAGTTCTGTTAAAATAAGTTGGTTTAAAGTATTGAGAACTAATTTTGTTTCAGGATAATTAGTAGAATCGTTATCCCAAAATGTTTTTTGTAAGTTTAGCATATTTTTTTTGTTCTCTTGGTATATATAAAAACAAAAAAACTATTGTTAATTCAAAGAATTGGAATAGTGATCTTTCACTTGAAATCTTCCAAAAAAAATTACTCTAAAGCTATAGATGTTAAATTTCTTTCTATATTTATATTTGTAATTAATAAAACATTTAGATTTTATACAGTATATGCAGGCATTACATAGACAATTGAACTTGAATTCAATGATATTTTATTTATTTTCTTTGATAGTCCAAATCTGCAATTTTTGGTATTCTTTGATGAATTAAAATGTTCTTTGAATGCTAAATTATTAAAATATTAGTGAATTAAAAATACAGTATAAAGTTCAGTAAAATACATAATACTCTCAAGGTCTCTATGAATAATATTATTATCATGTAATAATAAAAGTCTGAGCACTATTTCCTTAGCAAAATGTAATTTATTTGTCCATTGAACTCTTGTAAATTTGCTTTTAGATATTCTCATCATCAGCATATATGGATATTGTAGTTAAGCCAATAGCACGTAAAAATTTTGTTTGAGTGTTGCCAGGTAATAAGCAAGCAGAATTCATATTCATCGTTAAAACTTAGGAAAAAATT